TTAGCTCTTCATATATGAGAAAACAGAAAAGAAAGAAGGAACAGAACTCCAAATCTTTTACCCATTGAATATTGACTCTTTCATTCCACTTAAGGCTTACTACAGGAGTCACAAAGTTCTCATAGGCCATGGATTTTATAAAAAGCAACCAACTCTAAGCTTACTAAGCTTACCAATGGCGACCTGAGAACACTTGTCCTTCCATATTTGGTCATGACTGGCCCGACGGTTCCACATCTTACAGACTTGGGCTGCCACCAGCAGCCATCTTGGCGACAGGTATCCCATGATTCTTAGCGCCAGCGGTAAGGGAAGCAGGGTGATGAAATCACGTGACTGTTTCAGCTGTGAAGAAATTATAAATACATAAAATAGTTTCAGATATTTTGACATGGAATTAACATTTTCAACTGAATTTGTCAAAAAAATACTTTATTAGAATATTTTTCCTAACCCATTATTTAAAAAGAAGCTCTTAACAAACGCTAATATCTTGATTTCTCATATCACATTTAACAAATACCGACTTCAGAATCAGATAATCTTGGTGACCGGTACCTTGATGTGGATGTACATTTCATCAAGAGAATTTGTCTGATTTCTTCTTTCTGTCTGATGGTTTATTCCCATGATGAAATGTTTGTGTCTCACTTCAATGTTTCTTTTGGATTTTGTACTACCAATCATCTCTCAAGAGCATTTTGTCTAATCTATTGCATAATAAGCATAACAAACAAACATACCTCAAAAATAATTTAGTTGATATATAAATAGATAAAATCTAATGGGGAAGGTCATTTTCATATGCAGCCACTACTTTATGGAATAACTTGCCAGAATACTGAAAAGTTCAGAAGTAATTTGAAACCATATATCCATTTAGCTCTTTGTAAGATCTCACAATTATGAACACAGTGCACTCCTACATTCCATTCTGTAAAGCACATAGAGACAAGCAAGTATGCCTATGTGTTTAATATGCCCTATACAAAAACATTTAATTATCATTATGACTATTATAACAGTGAATCGTGATACTCTGTGATGATTGAAACTTACTGCAGAGTGCGTAGATAGGAAATACAACTGCCGCTGATCCAACTTCTTCAAGAGTTTGTGAAGAAACTCGTTTCTCTGGACATCTATGGATTAGAACATTTAAAAGGCACAAGGATTGAACATTTGAAACAATGCAAATACCACTATAGCACAAACATTTACATGTGTACATTTCCACATATATTTAACAGATAAAACAAGACAAATGTGAAATAGTCAGACTTTTTGTTTCAACAGCGACAATATTGTTAACATTTCAAAACTGTGTATCAAGTTTTAAACATATTCCTACTACAGAGTCGATACTTATAAAATTCAATTCATTCTTTTACCTCACTTTTAACAATCTATCGTGTTATTTTTAATCTTCGTTTTTGATTATATCTCTTTTTCTTTTAAAAAACACACATAATATCAGGATAGACTTTAAAGGGATGTTGCATGGCAAATACTGGTTAATGCTATCTACGACTTCTTTTAGACAACTGCACGTAAGCGAATGGACTTGATTAACCGTCAGCGAGCGGTAGCGTTCACAAAACAGACAGAAGTTCTCCTTACACTTCGGTTTCGCGTATGTTGCACGCACATGAATACTGCGGTCGCGTCGTCTAGTTGTATTATACCTGATTGGCCCCGAGTCAGGCAACGGGAAAGATACGTAGTCTTGTCATGCTACACCCCCTTTAAGTATATATTGCGAGGAGTGACGATATATACTCACCATTCCAGCATTCTGCATACCAATGAAAGAGTTGCCAGGATTCCACAGGAATGGGTTCAATGGGAGGTAACCTATCAGCCCTGTTACCAGACTGGAAAAATAGAAACATACAGAAATGGTAAATAAGAGAACACGTTTCCTTGAATACCAATACATGAAATAAAATAATGGGTAATAGGAGAAGGGATCTAAATGAAACTGTATACATATGTATAAAGACCACCTGCCTTTAAAGACAACTTTTCTTGTCACACTGGGTCTTACATTCTGGTAGTAATGTATTTTTTTTACAACCAATTTCATGTTTTAACAGGCATTAAGCAGGGGAATAACAAACCATTAAAGGCATTGTTTAACAATGTTTCCAGTTGTAGAAATCTGAGATGCATGGCCCTACATGTTATCATTTTCCCCAATAGACTGTAGTGTTATAAAAATTGTTAGGAAAACGGTTTTGGACATTTCAATTCCAATCATAAATATCTTGATAATCAGACAGGCGATCGGCTAGTATAAGTCATGGGATTCCTGACTGACCTAAAGATTTATAATTATGATCGCAGCATGAGCTATATAAATCTGGGATTTCGTTTAGAATCTGAGGCAAAGATTCCCTGCTTCAGGTCAAGGTATGAGACTTATAATACAGTTAAACAAAACACCTCTATTAAAGTCAACCAAAACTTTCAAGTGATAATGAAGATCTTTACCACAGCAATACTTCAGGAACTGCAAATAGTTACTTGTCATAATTCAGTTACTTTAAAGGTATTACAAAGTTTTGGTAATTTTTGAAAATTGGCTGGATAGTGATTCTTTACAATGTTGATATATTTGGATGCCCCTATGGATGTATTATAAGTACTAAAAAAAATTGGCCCCTAAAACGCTTCTGCTTTTGAGAAAAATTGAATATAAAAATTTACCGGTGCTCCCGGAAAATTTTGATAAATTTGAAATAGCGCCTGAGGCCATACGATGGTAGCTGCGACCATGAAAATCTCAGAAATGGTAATAGCAAATTGGTCGAGTTTAGTGAAATAACATTGTTTTATAGCTAAATCAATATCTTGACCTTGAGAGGGTGCTATACAAGATAAAGAATTTATTATTCACAATTTCTTCACTTTATACTCGATTTCAACTGCGACAACGATCACTGAATATTGCATATGCTTCCAATATGTTCATTTGAACCAAATTCATGACCCCATACCAAAACTTTGGATTACCTTTAAGCTTATGCACAATAAAGCTTCTGCTTTTGCATTAGTCTACTTATTTTCTTTGTATAGTCACGCCCTTGCCTACAGCATTACTCATTTAAAGTAAAAGTCAAGGATGATGAAACAGGCTAAATCCAATTTACCATAGTGGGTCTATTCCAGGTCAGCTGGACATCGGTCAGTGCCTTGGTCAACAGAGGAACGTTCGCATCATCCACAGGATTGTAGCCTCTCCGTTTCCTCTCATTTCTTGCCACCCTCTTCCTTGGAATGGAATGGCCGTCATGGTCCTGCATATGCCTTCTGATTGGCTGATCATCCCTAGAGGTAATGTATAAATAATTTCCATTTTACTAATAGGATAGAACTGCCATGCTAAATAGGAGAGTTGCATAATATAATGTAATAAAATATTTTAAAAATCTTTCTCACTCCTGAACATGAAATATCAAACCATATCATATTAAACCCCAATGTATAGTGTACGTTACAAAAGGAAGACACTTGTTTCATTCATTAAGGTCAGGGTATTAGGAGCTTGATAATAAGGTAACATAATGGAAAATAGCATATGTATAAAAAAAAAAAAGGGATAGGAGAGAGATTGAGGAGAGAAGGACAGAAAAGAACAAGAGAGATGTTAAGTAAAGAACGAGAAAGATGTAAAGGGAGAGGGGGAAATGTAAAGGGAGAGGGGGGAATGTAAAGGGAGAAAGAGAGAGATAGATAAGGAGAATAGGGGGAGGTGTAAAGGGAAAGAAGGGGAATAAAGAAAATGGCAGGGAGAAAAAGATAGAGAGAGTAATACTTCAAACATTTGCATTAAAAAAAAAAATCAACAAAGGGTGACATATAGAATCTACCAACAAAATCTTACCTCATCGGAGAGACTGGAGCTGATTTGCTGAGAGGATGGTCAAAGGTTTTGGAATGAGAGACAGAGGGCAGCTTGACAAGTGGCATGCTGTTGGTTGGTCTGAGTCTGTCCCAGCCAGACTTGAATGACCTGTTGTAGAAATCAAATAAGTCAGGGGTACCACAAGATTAATTGTAGATGCGGAGCACATGAACACTTCTTGCTAAGAGTAGGGTATAAACCCAGTGTTTAGTGTGCCTGCATGTACACAGGTGAAAATCTATATACAGATCTTTGTGATAGGCTGCATAGCGCTATGCAGATTTACATCAGTAGAAAAAGAGATGACAAGACCCTTTCTCCCTTCCTCCACTTCACATCTCAGTCTTCAAATAAGACCTGCACACCCCACCTCCCAATGCCCCCAACAATCTGGACCAATGTTATTCCACTGTCTATATATTCACTAGCATGCAAGGTATTGCATATTGGTTGTTTAACAAGCCTTAACCCATTGCCTACTGGAACCAGGCGGTTCCCGGAGCCAATGTGTGGGGAATAAGAGAGTTTGGCGGTCAGAGGGTTATTACCGGTAACTTACACTTCCTTAGGTTCCTCAGAAGGAGCAGACATGATGACAGGAAGGATGTGCTGGACGTTTAATCTCTTCACATCGGTCTTCCTTTGTAGATGTGCACTGTGAAAGAAAACAGATCAAACAAATAAAAATAGCAGTGCCATAGAATCACTGTTTGATCTTTTTCTTCTCAAGTGAAGAAAGCTTTTGAGCAACAGAGAGGTCAAGTATCATGTACATTTATAGATACCTTGTCATGATTTACATGATAATGTTTTATTGAACTTTTGTATCCTAACATGTATATTTAAAGCCAGTCACACAAATGTAGAGCCATTCTCTAAATAAAAATGAACAAACAAAGAACCATCATATATCTCTGTCATGTTCATCATGCATATTAAAATTATCCAACATTTATCATGCATAGCATATACACATTCCTTTTTAAGGAATTTGAAAATCTAGAGTACATCATATTAAAAACAAATAGAATGTAGTCCATAGTCCATCACATGCAAATGACCGAATAACTAATTCAAGATTTCTTCATGGAAATCTAAAGATGAAAATGGTGTGATATGAAATTCATACTGATAAAAAAAAATTATTCATACAGTTCCTATAGCCCTACCTATGAGCGTGATAATAGTTCCTGACGGCTCGCTTAGTCCTGGTCTCCCTGCTAGTATGACTGCTGATTGGCTCAAAGTGATACTCAGGGTAATGCTGTCTGGCAGTGTACATGAAGTCTCTGTGAAGGGCTGGTTGAAGGGTGGTCCATAGGAAGTTATATTGTGTGTAGTTGCTACGCTGCAATATTCCTTCTAATATTAGACAGCGCTGGGGGATGCGAGGAAAAAAAACACGAGAAATGTTCATGAGCTTGACAAATTCAGGATTTGAGACATATACAGGGAATTATCAATGACATCTGCTGCATTTCATGTAAACAAGAGCAGGAATTCATTCAACAAAATGATAATACCATACTTTAAGTTGATTTTCGTCCCCAACTATGAAAATAGTCGACATACAATACACGGTCAATGATATTCATTATAAAAAAATGCATGTCAGGCTTGTCAGCCAAAGGTGGATGTTATCCAAATCCCAAATGTTTCAGTGCTTCTGTTTAAGGGGCACACCAAAACAGAGGTTGTCATTATACACGTCCGACAAATTTACATCACTAGCTATTACTTGGATACTGTATGCAAATCCAAACTCAACCGAAGTGATCAAGAATCATCATTACAGGACTGTTTTTAAAAAAAATCTTTTAAAACATAACAGGACTGTTACCTGATTGTGATTCCACTTGTCCAGCCAGATATTGACGTGATCCACCTGTCTGTTGAACTCCATGGTATTATCACTCTCGATATCCCTCCCTCTGAACGCATGCCAGTCAGCCAACATCACCGCTCCATCCCCCTCTCCTCCTCCTCCACTCTGGCTTCTCCCCGACAACAGGATATCTCCTATTTGGAATCCCGAGCCTCCCCTCTCCTCTTTCTCATCCTCTACCCCGTTCTGGCCATTGTCATTGTTATGTGCACCATCTCCATAATCAGCATTCCCTGGCAGTGATATGTGCATGACGGGAGTCGGGTCGGCTGCCAGCGGATTGGAAGACACAGGGGGTAAGACGTCCATTGTGTCCGATCTCCTCTCATCAATGTTTCATCAGGTTGGAAGCCCAGTACTGGTCTGAAATAGGAAGATGGTGGTTCTAAATACCGGTATATAGAGCATCATGTTTGGCTCCACACCAAGTACTTTAGAAGGGGGTCTGAATTATTAAACAACTGTATACATGAAAGAGATCTGGATCTATGTTCAATTTTTGAATTTTCGAGGTCCGGACTTATATTTTTTTGGGATGCCCATGTGTCCCCGCCCCCTGTTAATGCCATCAGCATTTAGTTACCTATGATTCTAATAAAGAATTCAAGAAAGATTAAAACTTGTAAACATGAATAATAGGCAAACAAAACAAAGTACATATATATTTCTGTAGCCCTATAGATTAATAGCCACCAAAACAGCATTTTTGTATATTTCTTAACTTGTTTGTTGTTTTCTTTCTTTTTTTCTTGGTGAAACAGGCTGGGGGAGCTTGAAGGTAAGCTATCGGTTGTGGTCTAGACTTTAGGTTAGCGCTGCTAGTCTAGGCCCGGGCCAGGCCACATCTTATTTGTTTGTACGCAAGCGAGCCCAGATTGAAACAGAAAAATGCCTTTATCTTTTTAAATATTTTACAGTTTTAAGGCGCGGGGCTAGAGTGCAATTAAAACCACACAAATGTGTTAAGGCTTTTCAATTTGTAACGACAATCGAGGCCCTGTTAAAGTGTTAGGCTGTTCGAAGAGAGGCGGAGCAAAATTCACCTTCAGCTTCGAGTATCTCCCTTATTTTGGATTCAAAGCTCATGAAAATTTCACAGCACATACAAAATGATAATATCATTCTTCAAATAAAGTTTTCATTAAAAACTGTAGATATAGATCTAGGCATTTTTTCGTTCAAAGGTCGGTGAATCTGGGCTCGCTTGCGAACAAAAAAAAGAAGACGTGGCCAGGCGCAGGCCCACTCCAGCAAAGGCCAAAGCATAGAGTCAATGCTAATTATGCGTATTGACCTCTACCGTTGTACTACGTGCCGAGAGGCAGCAATTTCACACAATACACACACTGCACACAATTTCACACTAATGCCAACGACTCACGATTTAAATTTTCAAAATATTCTTTCTAACTAACACTAGATCTACCTAGGGTCTAGACTAACACTGACAGTAACATTGTCATTGGTAAGTTGAAAAGATTGTATTTTACTGCTATAATTTAGTACCAATTTTAAGTGTACTCAGTTAAGTTTTATACAGTGTTTGAAATGTTGAGAATCAATAGAACAGTTTTTAATACACAGCCAGCCATCTGCCAGGATAGTAATGCAGCTATGATACTATGTGCATGATCATGATAGATCTATGGAGTCGGGCTAACTCGGCCCACGGGACTACTCGGCCCAGCTGGAAAAACTGGGCCGAGATGTCCCGACCTGATTAATCGATCGAGAGATACCAATGTGTATATGTTTGTGCTCTTTGTGACTTAATAATGCCCTTTCCAACCAAAATCTTAAATGGAATTGTGTTAAATGATACTGCATGCACCTGTCCCCTGCCGGTACACGAAAAACAACGTGTCGGACTACGCAGTCGAAATGGCGATCAATTTTCTTTAATTAAAAAGCTAAATAAAGGCAATTTCATTAAAATCCCGACTTATAACTGAACGAATATTTCATTAATATAAGTATAATTATAACATTCTTTATCAAATGACCAGTTTTTAGTAAAATGATTTGTTTTTTTATATACTCACGGGAAAATCTCGGTCTCGATCCACAAGTTTGTTGTCAAGTCAACCACACGCAACGCATTAATGATTGATTGACTTTGCTAGTCTTTCATTTGAGGCCTTACGCTTTAACACAATACAAACAAACGTCGGTACAATCATCATACAATTACATGTACAACAAAAAAAAAGCATTACTTAGCAAACATGTTTGAAATAAATTAGTATAGAATTTCTTTAAGTGATTTTAGGATCATATGTTGCACAGCTCTACTTATCATGTGCATATTATTATAGTTCCTGAAAATTACACGTGATTCGATCTAAGACTATAACAAAAAAAACTTGTGACAGGTGAATAATTTACAATACAAGCACATCAGCGCAGAAAAACAGTCTCTCTCTCTCTCTCTCTCTCTCTCTCTCTCTCTCTCTCTCTCTCTCTCTCTCTCTCTCTCTCTCTCTCTCTCTCTCTCTCTCTCCCTCTCTCTCTCTCCCCCTCTCTCTCTCTTTCTCTCTCTTTCTCTCTCTCTCTGCAAATGCAGCAACCACAAAATAAAAGCTAAATACATTGTCGCTCATATAGGTGGAATATTTTTGTTTTACCCCAATTTATGGAATTATTTTAAAAATAATTTAAAAATAATAGATCTAGATAAAAGTGTACATTCTCAGATTTTATTAAATAATAATGTGCAAATGTGTGTTTTGCGTGACTGCTAAAGCATGTGTATGCTTCTATGCTTATCAAATATGGGACCTACGCCCTTAAGTAAAAAATAACAGTAATGAGGATTAATGCCCCACAAAAGGGCACTAGTATAGCACATCGACACGGTTTTGATCCTGGGGCGTCACAGTTACGAGGCCATTGCTTTGTCACTGAGCCATGACTGTACGCAGCGGGGGCTAGGGTAGGGGGCAGTTTCCATAAATAAAAAAAAGAAAAGAAAATGCAATAATTGTTCAATCATTTATTGCATTTTACCCCGGTTCCCAACTTAAAAAAATCCTCTGTGTGCCCATGCCTCGAGCCATAATGCATGGCCATCTAGATGATTTGTTTATGTTGGGGATCGGGGTAAAATGCAATAAATTATTGAAAATTTATTGCATTTTCTGTTTTTGTTTTTATTTATGGAAACTGCCCCCTACCCTAGCCCCCGCTGCGTACAGTCATGGTTCAGTGACAAAGCAATGGCCTCGTAACTGTGAGGCCCCAGGATCAAAACCGTGTCCATGTTCTATATTATTGCTCTTTTGTGGGGCATTAATCCTCATTACATTTCATTTATGATTTAAGGGCGTAGGTCCCCTATTTGATAAGTATAGTAGCATACACATGCTTTAGCAGTCACGCACAACACACATTGTCAAATTATTATTCAATACAATCTGAGAATGTATACTATTATCTAGATCTATCATTTTTAAATTATTTTCAAAATAATTCCATAAATTGGGGTAAAACAAAAATATTCCACCTATATGAGCGACAGTGTATGAGATTGGAAGGCTATGGAATTACGAAGTACAAACACAATAAAGGCATTTTGCTGTTCTGCATCTAATGATAATAATAATGTTCATCATGATGATAATAATAAGTCATGTTTATCAAGGGTAGCCTTATCAGTATTCATGCTGTTTTCACTGAGGGCCCTGCAGTCTATAGCCTAGCTACCATGAAAAGGTGCTCAATTTAAGCACTCAACGGGAATGAACGTGTATTTTACGACTGGTACGAGTCTCAAACTGCTCTCATAACTGCGCTAATGCATTTAAAAAGTCATAAATATTTTTTTTCTATTATTCAGCACAAATTCAACGACTGCACTTACGCAGGGAGATGTGACTTTTGAAATGATATAGTTAACGTGACTTTATCCTAGCAAAATCTCCGATATTATTATTATGTAGTATGTGCCAATTCAGTGGTTGCTTTTTAAGTTTTTGAGTTTTTGAGCTTTTTTAAGTTTTTGATCGGTGTTGTTTCGTTTAAGAATTCATTTTGTTTATAGCTAGAATTTCTTTCCATTATCCCCCCCCCCCCCCCAAAAAAAAAAAAAAAAAAAAAAATCTTTTAGTTTAACCGTTCCTTTCCAATATGATAAACAGGCTAAAATTATTGAAATTTTATGCCATATTTATAATCCATCCGTAGTTTTTGTCAGGCAAAGTGATACATGTATCATTATACGCCTACTTTTTTTTGTTAACGTTAAAGAAAAGTTTGAGTTCTGGAAATGATGGAAAATTAATTCTCACAGAATCCATACATATAAATGACATGTACCAAACGAACACGGTAGAAAATGGATAGACGCTGAGTAATGAGCATAGAAAGACAAGAAAATCAAGGTAAGTAGGCCCGACACCGGGGCCCGACACCATGTCAAATTTACGAACTCAAAGGCCTATGATACATGTTATTTGCCATGAGTGACTATGGAATGATGATAATATGTATTGTTTATTAAAACATTTGCTTTTGAGAGTTTATATATTATATATATAATGTGCTAGACCAGAGTGGGAGCATAGTGATCATGGCAGGCCTAAGAAGTAAAACACACTAAATCGGAATACCTAGAAAATATTAGATATTAACCTGAAAGTTCAATTGTAATCTGTATCAATTTTATTTTCTAAAAATAAACCGTTCAATATATAACTGAAATTCATTTTAGCAAGGGAGTGGTAAGGGTGGGTGGGGTTGTTTCTGGGAATATATTGTTGTCATGATGATAATCATATATATACACGATTTCGGCTTTCTGTTTCATTCTTGCGTTTTACTCTGATGAGTGCAAGTCGAAAAGCTTAAGTTATGGTTCTTTTCAATGCTATTCTCCTTTTAAATTATTTATCGTTTTCTTGTTTTATGTGTTATGATGTTTGTATTTTATATTTTCTGACCGTGAATAAAACCAAACCAAACGGATCTGACCCTCCCCCCCCCCATAAAATGGCTAAATTTACACTTATCGATATATAATCTACCCCCCCCCCCGAAAACAACAACATCGAACAAACAAACAAAAACAAAGAACAAAACAAAAAACAAAAAAAAATCAAAATCAAAATCAACCAAAACAAAATCAAAATCAAAATCCCACTCTTTCTCTCTCTCTCTCTCTCTCTCTCTCTCTCTCTTTTTCTCTCTCTCTCTCTCTCTCTTTTTTTTTCTCTCTCTCTCTCTCTCTCTCTATCTCTGTTTTTCTATTTTCCTCTTCTTTTTTGTTATGCACACCTGGTTCTAGTAGTTTGCATACAAAGCCATACTGCCCCCCCACCGCCGTGCCTTATATTATAATTTACACAAAAGTGAGAAAAAATCCCGGAAAAATCATTTCATTTCAGCAACATATGTAAATCACTGAAATAATTCGAAATAAACCACATTTGATACGGGGGACACAACTGCCCCCTAAGGCCCCCCCCCCAACCCCATATCAGTACGCCAGTGACAATCAGTACAACCATGATATCGGACATAATAAATTACATCAACTTCAAACAACGCAGAGACAACAGTCAAACAAATATAATGAAATAAAAAAGAGAGTATTTATTGGATATAATTATTTTATTCAGTAAAATTTAGCAAAAGAGATAAAATATTGATCGTGCATACAGAATATATTGTCCAAATCAGGTAACAACGATATTGATCACATATTTCACGTAATCATGATAACATAATAACATATAGTATAGTCTAATTTATGCATAATAATCATTTGCATATTGCATCAGTATCATGCATTGGAATCGACATATAATGTGTATTGCATCTATATTTTTATTATTCCGGCAATGTTCTGCATTTTCCTATTGCTTCTTCTTCTTATGTCAACCACTTTTCTTTCTAAACAAAGCTAAGCTTGTTCTTTGTATCCGTTTGTACATGCATGCACTCTTTCATTAACCTATTGAAGGATTATAAAAATAATCTACAATATGCATCGCCTGCATAATACTTTAATGAGTGCTAGATATATCCGTTATACTATTAAGATAATATATGTATACATAATTAGCTTCTCTTCGCGAACGAAGATTTAAGAGAATATTACTCGGTCTTCCTGGGCCCCATTTCACAAAACTAGCATCAGTGACAAATGTCAGTTTTTGTTATAAGCTACATAAATCCTTGTATCTGATTGGTTATCAGCAGATTTGTCACTGAGTTTTGTCATTTGTCATTGAAAAAAGGCTTTGTGAAACAGGTCCCTGGTCTGTGCAAGCCCGCTGGTGAAAGGGATAGACACTTCTTGCCATGTATTTGCCAGGGGTAGGTTTAAGAAGATGCAGATGTTCTATTATTGTTCCGATTTTGTCAGCGCTGTCTCTTCTCAACTTGCTCTTACTTTGTTATTAGCCTCAAAGACTGAGGCACCTTGGTGGACTTACACTATTTATAGTTCAGTGGGTACATATTTAAGCAATTGCATATATTACCAAACAATTTACAATCCCTGCGTTCTACGACATAAAGAAAGAAGAGTACTGAATGGTAATTCAATTGACGCTAAAACAATTCATCATAATAATTATTCATCATATATCTACATGTATGATTAAAAAGGGTCAGTAATCTTGTTAGTTTTTAAAATATTTGGATATTTTGTGTCTTTCTCTTTATCTAAACGATACACAGACATTTACCCCCCAAATATGTCAATGTTTGGTTTTCCCTGATCAAAAGTCATACATTTATCACGCATTCTCGTATTCTAGTGTAGAAACATGGCGACAAATGACGTCATAATGACGAAGATGAATGACGTAACTAGAGGGGCGGCAGCTCCCGTTTGAGGGTCAACGTACTTTGTCTTCATCTCCACCCATTTCTTCCCCCTTGGTGCTAGCTCAGGTTTGATGACGGTATTGATCTGTTCGTTATAGGTATTGTACCATTCGATCTGAAGAGAGGGAGAGAGGGAGAGAGAAATAAATACGAAAGGTATTGTGATGTCATAAAGATGTGATACGTGACGATAATGTGAGAAGAAGAAAAAAAGGGGGGAAAAGAGAAAGAAAAAAAGAGAAATCATTGACATATTGATAGACTTACACACAAAAACAAAAAGAGAAGATTGAAGAGAAACAAACATTATCAGGATACAGGAAAACAAAAAACAAAACTGGTGTGATAAAGAAAGACAATCTGAAAGAAACATGAGAAATGTAACAAGATCCGACAAAGGCAAAATAAACACAGAGCCACATGAAAATAAAGAAAGCTGAATAGACAGACAGCCTAACCAAAAATGTGAACCAATAATATACTACAGGTATTAGAGTCAAAAGGGGAAAATAAAAAAAATGCAGAGGCAAAGCGAAGGACGGCTGGGACGGAGATAATCGAACAAAAGAGGGGGAAAAGGAAGAGGGGAGGGGGAAATGAATTTGAAAAAGATAACAACCCCTATTGAAAAAAAATGCTGATAAGGATGTTCCATCCCGCAAGTGGTAAATAATTAAATATAATAAACACACCTCCTGAGCCCCCTTCCCCAATCCTCCATATCGGTTATTTTTGTTCTCATTTGCATCTAAACCATCTAGTAAGAATGCCCCCCCCCCCTCTCCATGAAGCAAGTACCCACTGGTTAGTTAGGCAGACAACCAATACAGACAAACCGTGCAAACAGAGAGGCCAAATAGCAAAATAAGTGATGAGTCGACATTAACTCCGACAACAGACTGCTTCTTGGGCTAGCTAAGCGTTATAATTGGGTTTTAGGTTAGGGTTAGAGTTAGGCATAGTGTTGGGGTCCAGATTTGAAGTCAATGTAGGAAACAGACGCCGAGCAATTGCTCTAGGAGCAAAATGTCGTACAACAGAAACATATGCAGGTAGAGAGAGAGAGAGAGAGGAGAGAGAGAGAGAGAGAGAGAGAGAGAGAGAGAGAGAGAGAGAGAGAGAGAGAGAGAGAGAGAGAAAGAAAAAGAAAAGGAGAGAGAGGGAGGGAGACACACAGACAAACAGAGAGACGACAGGGAGAGGGAGAAAGAGATAAGGGTGGCTGTCTTACCTGCTTGGTGGTCATGAGGTTGAAATCGATTAACGTAGGCTCAAGAGGTACCAGGGAGATCATCTCAAATGTCATGTAGGTGTAGTCGTTGAATTTGTGCTGAATAGTAGAATAAAAACATTGATAAATTAACTAGATTAGAGCATTTATGAAGAGGAAAACTAGACATTGCTCTTCAGAAGATAGCAAGAGGGCACTCTTGCTAAGCGACAGCAGGAAATATACGTAAAAGGGAACACGTATCAAAGAGCAAAAAGACACTTATCAACATTACCAAGAGCAATTTATTCTTTTTGAAAGAGGCACTTATCAAAGGTGAAAAGGTGCGTTAATTTAACAAATGGATAAGGAGCACTTATTACAAAAGGAGATGGGGGTATTTATCAAAAGGGAAAAGGGCACTTATTAGACAGAAAAAGGGCATGTGTCAACATTAAAGGGACACTGCTCGCACCTGGAAAGATAATAGTTATGAATTAACTATATTAGAGTAGTTTTTGAATAGTGATATGGATTTGGAAGTCATGATCGTTTGTGAGACCGGTTTGTGACTCATTCCAGTTTTTATCATGTTTCCATTCACGTAGTAATATACAAATACTTAAAACGGCAAAAGGCCTTTATTTTTTGTTTGTATTTCGTAATTCCACAACATTCCAAATTCAATTTTCGTATTTATTCCGTGTTTATTACATTTTCTTGTCCTTTCATTTCTTTTTATATATTTTTCCTTCTTTTGTTTCGTTACCTGATTTTCTTCCCCTCAATGTTTTTTGTCTTTCTTTTCATTACATTCCCTCCCTTTCTTTTTGTGAGTCACCATCTTTTTCCATTTCTTTTCTTTCGCTTCTTTTAATGTTCTTTTCCTTTACTTTCCTTTCCTTTCCGTTCCTTTCAATTCACTTTCTTTCCATTTCTGCCCTTCTTTACCTTTCCTTCTCTTTTTTCTTTATTTTTTGTGTTCTCCTTCTTTCTTAAACTCGAATTTTGTTTCATAATTGAGATGCAGATGTAAATTTGATTTAACGAAGCACTGCTTCACATACCTTTGTCGCGGTCTCTTTGGCAAACATGATATCTTCAATTCGAAGTCCGAATTCTCCATCTTCGTAGTAACCAGGCTCTGAAAGGAGCAAAAGATATTCGAAGAAAAATAACAACAACTTAATTTCTTATAAGTATATAAAACCGATTCAGATGAGTTCAGGTGCCACATTGTAGCCCTCCGTGACACTGAGGATATTTTACTTTCAAATGAATTGAGAGACTTCCCTTACCATGAACAAATAAACAATAAAAAAAATATTAATAGATTAATGGATATTTGGTTCTTCAATGAGTTCCAGGAACATTTCTTTTTACCAAACCATTTTATATAAGGGTATTGCACAACAAAATATACCTAATTTCATAGCTCGATACAAATCATTATTCATTTTCCAGAGGCCTTTAAACTTGGCCCGAATTCACAAAGCAAGGTTTGAGCTCAAACCTCCTTTTGTTTCGCCAAACCTCCTTTTGTGTTTGTAAATAACAAAAGGAGGTTTGGCGAAACAAAAGGAGGTTTGACCTCAAACCTTGGTCTGAGCTCAAACCTTGCTTTGTGAATTCGGGCCTAAAGTCTGTCAAATGTCCATCCACGACAAACTGATCATGCAGACTCAGCCACAGTTATTCAAATGACTCTGCACTGAGCGACTCCAAATCGACGGATGCATGCCTTCTTGCTAATAAGATGTAATTAGCATCCAAAAATTGCAAAAATTCAGTTCTTAAAAGCTTTTAGCATGATGTTATACAGACCTAAGATGGTGAAGAGTTCTTCAAATTCTACTCACCGTCAGAAAAGAACATGTCAATATCAATCGGTTGGTTTCGGGCGTTGTAACCAAGACCAATATTCGCTGGACCTATAATATACATAGAGGATACACACATGAGTACTAAATAACGCCATGCTTTTTTCCTATATTATACCTACCGTCTGAGAAAAACATGTTTTGATGAATAGGTTCATGAGCAGCACTGTAGCCGAGATTAATGCGGCCAGGACCTGGTGGGGGAAAGAAGACATGAAACATGCAATGGACACCAATGAATTTTGCAACATTATGAAAAGCAAGATGAAGGTGTTGGGCCTAGTTTTTGAATGAATTATCTATGTCCTGTGAATGATAAGTATCAGTGATTTGCAGATCTTGTAAACATGCGTGCTCCTTCGTCAATTTCTCCTTGGAAATTTCTTAAACATAACCCTAAAACTAACTTAAAACCTAATTGCAACCCTAACCCTATATTTATGAAGAAATATAGGTTTTTCAATTTTGCAGTTTGGATATTTGGTTGAATGATAAGAGCATTCCCATTCACAATAGTTGTGATTGCCACGGCAAACTTATTGTTATTCATGCAACATGCTCTTCAAATGAGTCATGTAATGAGTCATGCGATTTAAAGGAATAGTTGAGTTCTGTTCCAGAGGGCGCTACACAAAATAATTTTTTGTGAGATAATGAAAAACTGAGTGTCAAATTTGAAAGAACATAATATTTAAATGACAACAGCATCTTTGTTTGATCAAAATCGATTCAGAGACGGCTGAAATATCCATAAATATAACGATTTCGTAACACCACAAATATTAGATATTTTGAAAAATTTGAAAAAACCGTTGAAAAAACGAAATAACGGCTTTTACGTCGTATTTCAGCCAATGCCGATGTAAGCTTTTTTGTTGGCATTTTCGTGTTGCTTATATTACGCACAACCAGCCGGCCCATGTATTCTCATTTTTAATTAAATAATTAATTAACGGTCACCGTGTTTTTTCAAAATGGAGCTGAGTTGGTATGATCGTATTGGGTCTAAAATTACCCGTTCATAGCAATTTTAGGCTCTAAAAGGGCACTAGAAATGTCATAGATAAGAATAAGAGCAATAACCATGCACTTTGAAGGCATTTGCGGTCTGAAAACAGAACTCAACTATCCCTTTAATGAATGGTCAGTCATTTAAATTTCTATCGTTCAACTTTGTTATCAGTGCAAACAAAAATATTCAAATGAGTGACCTGAATAAAGAAAATGAGCGTGCAATTTAAAAGGGTGGGCATTCGAAATACCTTTTCCGTCGTGCGAATTCATTATCCTTGCTTTTTTTTTCTTCTTTAAACGAGTCATTCACATTTAAACTAGGAGCATAACATTTAAGAAATAGGCATTCAAAATCAGATGCCGATTGCCTCGGCACTCTTAAGTCATTCAAATTCATGAACGGGCAAGCTTTTAAATAAGTGCATCCAAGACTAACTATTATGACTATGCGTGTAGGAATACTATGCTCATTCTTTGCCAAATAGCGTTCATGATCACTTCAAACTAATTAGCCCCAAAGGTCCCATATGAACACGATGCAGATGAAATAAAAGACGTTAACAAGAAGAGGGAACCCGAACATGCACATGCCAGTTACAAACACAAATTAGAAAACATGCAAAATGTCATGCAATGGTTTAAAATTGAAACTCCAGAATGTGTAAAAAGAATATTGATGAAAACAAATACATAAATGAACAATCATACTGCCATTGTAAACATCATAAAAGATATGATACGTTTATAAAATATTATATATTTATGGCTATCAAATTATCTATTTTCTGGAAACAGTTTTGAATAGGCTGTTGTGTATTTGACACTTTTTTGCAGCCCAAAGACATGATTTTCTAATGCCAGAACCAAAAGAAATGAGATAAAATGAATTCAATCAAATCTAATCAAATCAAACCAGAACAATTAAAGTCAAGTCAAGTCAAGACAAGTCAAGTCAAATCAAACTAAGACAACTTAAATCAAATTTTATCATATCAAATTAATTCAAATCATGATAACAAATCAAATCACATCACATCAATTCAATTCAATTCAATTCAATTCAAATCAATTCAAATCAAATCATATCAAATCAAATCATATCAAATCAAATCGAATCAATACAAATCAAATCACATCACATCAAATCACATCACATCACATCACATCACATCACATCACATCACATCACATCAAATCAAATCAGATCAATCCAAAACAAATCAAATCAAGACAAGTTAAAATTAAATCAAATCTTACCTTCATGGACATTAAGGAAGTGACCAATACCGTGTCCAGTACCATGGCGGTAGTCCAGACCTCCCTCCCATAGGGGTTGACGGGCATGGGTGTCAAGTGCACGACCTTAGTGGATGATTAATAATAATAATAATAATAATAATAATAATAATAATAATAATAATAATAATAATAATAATAATAATAACAATAATAATAATGATAGTGTGTATGTCCATTTGTATAGCGCAGCTACTATATGAATATACTGCATTATACAACGTATTACATTATTACCATGCCATAATGAGCCACTAAAGCATTCAAGGAATTTCTTCCTACCGGGTAACCAATTACTTCACCTGGGTGGAGAGTGGCAAATATAGATGAATGTCTTGCCAAAGGACATTTGTGCCGTGGCGGGCTTCGAGCCACTAACTATGTGATCAAAGTCAGGTGACGTAACCACTAGACCACGACATCTCTACAAAATGAACCATAATTATATAGGATTTAAGGCAGTATTGGAGAATTATCGTATGATAATACAACTGCAGTCTAGAAGTTTATCTTGACTTCTCAAGCTCAATGAGCATCCACGGATTTGAGATTAAACTCAAGTCTGATGTTATGGTCGCTTTGTATATCTTAACTGGTCAATTATTTGTTGTATGTAGTCGAAGTAGAATAATCATATGCCAATAACATTTGGATTGCACAAATTGACATACTAAGAATCGAATGAAATAGGCAGTGGTTTGGGAAATACCGAGATTGAAGCACGGTGATTGAATTACATATTCTCCTCCTTATCGTAACTTTAATGTCAAAATTGATGTAGGGAATAAACAAAAATGGCACATTTGTCATGACGTCACAGACATTTTGGGCCAAAGTACCAGTAATTTTGAATTTAATCAATAAGCTGTTCCTTATGGCATTGTAATTATGATTTTAGAGATGAAAGTTAACAGCTGAACATAGATTGGCGGTGTTGCATTAATGCAAAGTCGGGTAGCACTGGATCTAATTGTAAAGCACATCAGATAGAGGTTCAATCTGGGCACTGTTTCACAAATCTTCCTATCAATAAAAAAAAAAGCTAAATTTCTCTGACTTATTTGCTCTCAACCTATCAAATGCATTTATCTAATTAGCTTATAACAGTGATTGCAATTTGTTATTGATAACAAGATTATGAAACAAGTTTATGAAACAAGTCCCTGGATGCAGAACTCTTTTAATGCCAACTTACCATACACCCCCGTCCTGAAAGTAGCCAAGACCAAATCAGTATGACCCATGAGTACCCTCGTATAGGCTTCCTACAACATCATTAAATGATGATAAGGAGACAAAAGATCAAATATGATCAAATCAGCGTATAAACTTTAATATCATTCAAAGAAAGAAATAGTACAAAAGAATATGCAATATATACGTTTATATAGCAGTACATAGGCGTCAACAAGACCACGAAGTACAAGAGAATGAGGTATTACAAAAAGTTGCTGTATTATAATCTAATTGATCCAAGAATGAAAACATTTAACCCTAAAAAGGCCGGGCTATTTGAGGTCTTAGTACGGCCGGGGGGGGGCATTATCCCCCCCCCCCTCCTTAAGTTCTCGGCCGTGAAACGGCCGATCTCCGCAAAAATGTGCACGCATGTCAAGTGAAGTGTATAGAATAATATGATAATTCCAATTTTTTGGAAAATTCATTCATTTGCATATTTATGGTAATTTATGCAAATAAGGTCATAAAATCACATTTTTACCCATAAATCATATATTATTCATATTTAAGCATTCTTTTTTTACCACATATATTCATTAGACCATTTGGAATAATAATACGACAAAATTTTGTCGAAGAGCCGGCTTATTCCTTATGTTATCTGTTGTTTTGATAATTTCTTATGTATTTCATTGTTTTTGTATTAAACTTATGTATTTTTGTTGTTTTTGTTGTTTTATTTCATTTCTTACTACTATTTTGACCCCAAAACAACCACCTAAACTTTAAACAAGACCCAATAACCAATGTTTGATCTATTTTTAGGAAAAATGACATTTGTTTTGTACACAAATCACAAAAATGAGCGATTTTCGGGTTGACATGCAAAGACAAAAGATCACGTGACCTTGTAACTGTAGGTCCGATTTTCATTTTTTTTTTTTGTTGAAAGATGCGCAAGACTCGAAAGAAAAAAGTCAGCGAGAGGCCGGGCGCCATCCATATGCGTTCCTGAACAATCAGGAAAATCGTGGAAGGGGGGGGGGGGGGCAAAATGCCCCCCCCCCCCTGGCCTTATTAGGGTTCAAGGTAAAGACCAGTATTGGAAACTCCCCAATTTCAAAAAATGAAATGGAAGCTCTCATTACCAATCATGTGAAAGAATATGTTTTGACTAATACATGATGATAAAAAATTTGCCGGGAAACCGCCTACTAATTCATATATTTGGTAAATTTGTTTCTCTCATGGTCTGTGAGAGATATAGGGTAGTCCCATATACATCTTTCTGTGTATAGTGCTTGTAACTTTACGAAGAATGGGCCAAATTTCTTATCATTTTGATGATTCCAAAACCTTGCAGATGATAGATGCTAGATGATCAACCTTTTCTGATCGATTCCACAACGTTTCTTTCACAATGCAATCGCATGACCATAACTGGTCTTTACCTTTAAACCAATGCTCGAAAAAGGTCTTACGGATCATATCTCAAAGCCTAGTTTCTGCCAACGATTAGTGATAATCAAACACGAGTTCCCGTTTCGCACCATACAAAATAAAATGCATCTTTTCCCAATATGATACCGCTTAAAATAGAAATCATTCTGCCAAGGAAGTATTTTTAACTCACCTTCATAAAATCTGTTGGTTCTCCAAAGTGGAAAGAACGTGTGATGTCACAGGTTCCCTGACTGCAAAGAAGGTGAATAAAAAAGATTGAAACTATCAGCATCTACAAGCCTTTCACCGGAGCATCGCTGTAGGGGTGTAGAGTTGGGAGTCGCCCCTTCTAGGTATTACGTAGGCAATTCGTATGTAATTCGCAAATCTTTCTCCAAATAATTGCAATTGCAATTGCTTACGGTCATTTTTTATTAAATATACACACCTATCTTGTTAACAAATTTGGTCCAAGCACCCCCTTCCCCCTATTTGCAAATGGTGATGCCTTGTGACGCTCAGACTGCCCATGACGTCTATTCAACAGTTCTTCCTCTAAATAATATTAGTACAATGACCTAACAAAAACAATTTTAATATCAGATAAGATGTCTCGGTTCCATGACACATTCTCCGCCGACGATTGCTCCGCCGACAAATGCTCCGCAAAAAGCGACAATTGCTCCGCGACATTTGCTCCGCGACATTTGCTCCGACGTCAAATGCTCCGCCGACAGTTGCTCCGCCGACAATTGCTCCGCCGACATTTGCTCCGCCGACAATTGCTCCGCCGACAATTGCTCCGCCGACATTTGCTCCGACGGCAATTGCTCCGCCGACAATTGCTCCGCCGACAATTGCTCCGCCGACATTTGCTCCGCCGACAATTGCTCCGCCGACAATTGCTCCGCCGACATTTGCTCCGACGTCAATTGCTCCGCCGACAATTGCTCCGCCGACAATTGCTCCGCCGACAATTGCTCCGCTGACAATTGCTCCGCCCCCAAAGTACCCCGTTGAAGACAAATGCTTCCTTTTGCAGGGGAAAACATAGGAAGAAAGGAAAAGAAAAGGAAAGAAAAGGACAAGAAAACATGAAAAAGAAATGGTCAAGAAAAAAGAAAAAGAAAAGGCTAAAGACAAGGGAAAAGGGACACAAAATAGAATATAGGAAAATTAATGACGGTAAATCTTGCCGACGCGACGTCGGGACACGTCGGGGAAAAACTAGAAATAAAATGGAGTATGAAATATATACATGCTCGTGAAATAATAATTAGTGATTAAGGCAGATGGATTTCAGTTTTTATATGAAAAGGATGAAAATTCGCTTGCTCGCTACCCTTTTTATGTTCGTAATACATTTTGTACATCAGTGATTAACAAGCGATGCTGGTCTCGCAGATGCTTTTTAATATGAAATGGCAAGCCAAGAATTTCGACCATTCGTTAACCTCGCTCGCCAACAAGGAATAAACAATAAATCCTAGAATAATACTTGCCCATTTGATTCAAATTAAGGGGCGTAATGTAGAAAATCATATTCAAGATTATAACCTATGATTTTTGCCTTCCTTGTTTGCCAAATTAACAAATCAAAAACAAACAAAAAATACCCCCTTAAAGATACTATTTCCCTTTTGCAGCCAACATCAAATGCTGTAGAAATTTGCAGGGAATATAAATATGTCATGTTTGTCCTATCTGTGAAAGTTAAACTGATATTCAAATTATGAAGGAAACCTGTTTATTTGCTAGACTTCACTGTTAGACACGATTGAGTGACAAACTGGGTTTGTTTCTTCTTTGGTAATAACATACATAACAGGAGCTGTAAAGGGTAAATGAGTCATGAGCATTTGTCTACATCAATAACCCACTTCTTGTAAGGGCCAAAATTAAACTGATTGAATCTTGGCGCAGCATAAAACATATGACCATTCGGTACGATGGTCTGAAAATCAGACTATTAATTACTGGCTGTATAGCTCTTAAGTCGATTCGACAACTAATAGTCGTTCTTTTCCCACTTAAAGGTATTTTCAAGCCCCCCCCCCTTTTTTTTTTATAGGGAAGTTCTAAATTAGTATTTACTTTTAAATGCCGTTGGAATTTAACCTTTTCATTTTGTTGGCCTGCAAATGGGACATAGTACCTTTAAATGTGTTTGTGCCCTCCCTTTCAAGGGACAAGAAGACACAGTTACTTAAGTAAAAAAAAAATATGCCTATAATTATTATCAAAAGAGAAGTGCAAAAGAACTTGCTCACATGCTACGCTAACTCGCGATTATAATTGTTAACATATTCATTTGACGAATGTGCAGCTCATAAACGTCAGACGAAGAATGGCGGAAGGCAGGTAGATGCTATTCAATATAAAATAAGCTTATAACTGCCCGCTCGCTAAAAATGAAATTGACATCGCCTTAACTATGAATGTGCCCGACCCGTCCTGCAGCAAGAAAACTCTGTTTGATACTCATTATTGTTGACAATAATTCTTTGGTTGAACGCTCGCTCTTCATTTTATGGTATAAACGTGCCCTCTTAATCAAGGAGGGAAATTAAGCAGGAAGATGTTATTCAATATTAATGATAAGCCTATACATTTTTAGCTCTCTCTCGCTATATATACCATCGCTTACCAAAAGGGAACAAATATAACCTTAAATGATATTGTGCTCGAGAAGAAAAAAAAAATCACTATTTTGTTGAAAGAAGTTCTACTAAAGGTTGAACAAAGTTTATATGTTACTTAAAGTTTCTGCACTTGCTCCCAAACCCCCCTCAAAAAAGGATTGCGTCTTTCGCAAAGGTTTATCACTTTTTTTTTTCCATCGGTGTCATCTGATCGGGTAATTAAAACACATTCCCCTTCTCAGAATGCTGGCTACGGCCCTGAATAACAGCAACAAAACAAATCACACGAAACAAAAAATACCCATGAAAGAAATATTGTCGGCGGAGCAAATATCGGCGGAGCAATTGTCGGCGGAGCAAATGTCGGCGGAGCAATTGTCGGCGGAGCAATTGGCGGCGGAGCAATTGTCGGCGGAGCAAATGTCGGCGGAGCAATTGTCGGCGGAGCAAATGTCGGCGGAGCAAATGTCGGCGGAGCAATTGTCGGCGGAGCAAATGTCGGCGGAGCAAATGTCGGCGGAGCATTTGTCACCGAAGTAATCGTCGCCGGAGCATGTGTCGGGTTACCGATGTCTCTACTTCATCGAGTTTTCACAAGTCTGGGGAACATTTTGTGAAGAAGCAGAGCGGCCGAGCAATGACGTGTATGTGTTTGGGGGGGGGGGGTGTGGGTTGGGGGGGGGGGCTGTTCCCTGCCTGTTGATGTCCCTGGATTTACTTACAGGTATTGTCCACCAGAATCAAGTAGGAAGATTCCTTGGTTTGTGATTGGTACATTAGTCTCATTAGATGACCTGTAAGGGAGGTAGAAAACAAACCAACCTATAATCTTGGAAAATAAAAAAACAGGAGGCACAATTATTTCCCCTATATCCACAGGGTTCTTTATTTAGAAATCTCATATAACAGTAACAAATAAATGTTAATATTTATATACACAATGGTGAAAAGAATGATCACCACGGCCAAAAAAAATTGGTACAGAGAAATACAAAAATGACAAAATGAAAATGTTGGTACATGTGATCTATCCGTTTCTTTCTTATTACTATATCTTATTATTTTTTATTCTGGACTCCACACATTCAAATGGGACTACGTGTCTACGTCTGTGTATTCGATTCCAGCTGAAGAGTTTGTAATCTCGCAATTGTTTGAAAATATTTGAAACTATAATACCTTTGAACAATTGAAACAATTTGATGTTTATTAATATGTGAGGTTTAAGGGGGTACTTTAAAGAGGGACGAAAGAGGGGCGAGAGAATGGAAGGGGGGTAATATTGGACAACGATATAAGGCCACGATTGCGGTGAAAGGAAAAGACAAAATATTAAACAGACAAGGGAAATACAAAAATCTAACAAATGTCTTATGATTGCATCAGTGAATCCATGGTATAATTTTGTTCTTACGTATAATGAATAACGGCTCCGTTCGCCCCAAATGATGAGATCGTTCCAAAACTGAGACCCTTGTTGGTTGGGTGAACGCTGAAACAAATAAAAAAGTAAATTAGTGATGTATAATTAATTAATCCATTCCTTGTCTCATGAGACATCTATGCATTCCACATAAAAAAGTTTTAAAATAAGGTATTAAATTACACCTTAACCAGACCGACTACGAACCGACGCCAGGCCATAGGGTGTAATGTAATCGTTTGACCGATCTGTTGTCGGCCAGATGTCGGTTTTATCGGTGTGACTTGGTTATTACAAAACCATGTACCAAAATACATTGAATTTACAATAGGCCGACACTATTAAGTGCAACCCAAATAATTGTTGCAAATGTTCATATTAGTAATGTTCGGTTACATTATTATCAGCTTTGTTTTAATTCGGAGGGATTATATTCAAATTTCACTCTATGCAAAATATAGGATTAATTTTGTCGTCATAACTAATGTGTTTTTTAAGGTTTTGTGTATGCAAAATGGTATTAAATTTGAGAAATAAAGACATGAATGTACCTTCTGAATTCTACTGCCTTTTCTTCAACGATGAGCTCACTGAGAACGCTTTTATCTCCCACTGCGGGATCCTGTTGTAAATTGTAATAAAACGAAATGAACACATCAAGAATGCAATATAGTAAAATAATAGTATAGTCCGGTGCACATTACACGACCCGATTCTTGAAGATGGCAATTTCATTATTACGTTGTTGAATTTTTTTTATAGCTTTTGCTGATTTGTTGATTTTATTGATCACATAACAAATCACATTTTCGATTTTTAAGATTTAACATGTTTACATAATTCTTCCAAAATCAGATCGCAGTCGGCTCCCCCTCTCTCTCCTTCCTTCCCCATCGCACATCGAGTGATTAACAACCACCACCAAAATATTTTTATGAAGAGAGAAATAGGAAATGATGGAGATCAGGCGAGAAAAATGACGCTTGGGCTACCTCCCGCACCATTTTCCGAGAAAAACCGGTGCCCACCCATTATATTCCCATGCCTGCCCCCTTACACTTTATGGACAGAGTAAACCTGATGGAATTCAGGTTTTCTAGGTTCTTTTTACTACAGCCCAGGACAATCAACACAGTTAGAACGGTGTTTAAAACATCACTGTTTTAAAGAATGTTGTTTAAAAACGTAAACAACGTTGTTCAAAATCGTAAAATCAGTGCTCAATTGGCTTAAACAACTATCTATTGAATTTTTTTTAAATTTTAAATAAACAGTGTTGTTTAAAAAGTCCCGGGGAAAAAATCACGTGAAAGATTTAACCAATCATGATTTCGCGTCGTTGATATTTTCTCGATACGCGATTGCAATTTGCGCGCACACATGCGATATGCACAAAGTAGGTACATAGTACATGCATGCAATCATGCAGTGCTAGTGTGCAGTGCAAGTGCTAGTGCAGTGCAGACGAAAACGACGGAACAAGGGCAAGGCGACGACTCGGTTCTTCTCGGCTTCGCCGATGGGGTTTAGGTAAAGTTATAGAGACATGTTGTCTGTCACTGTTAAATGAATATGATGAACAAATGTTGAAGTAAATTGGCAACAAGCTCTACATGTTACAGTGTAATCTTTGTGATTATTGCAGGAGTGGTTCCAGTAGGTCATTTCACAAATTCAATCAACCAGATAATAACCATTAAACAATTCTGTTTAAAAATTAAGCAACTTCTTTTAAACAACCCAGTTGTGTAGTAATATTGAATAAACAACAGTTGCTTTAATGTAAACATTATTGTTTAACATAATACACAACTTGCTTTAAACAACCGAGTTGTGCAATTTTATTACTAAACAACTGTTGTTTAAAAGTTTTTCTAATTCAACTAAGTGTTCAAAACGTAAACAACTTCAAGTTGTTTAATTTTTAAACAACAGTTGAGCGATTCACCTGTTAACTTGTGGTTGTTTAAAATTTTAAACAACTTGTTTAATTTTTTTCTAACAGTGAAGAGTGTCAGAATAAATTTCGAAATATACTTACGTCTAAGCCATCCATGGTCTCCTGCAACCATCCACCAAGCTCACACAGAGAAATAGAATCAAGACGCTGTAAAAAGAAGAAGATTGGTCGAGTGATTGGTTAATTGGTTAGTCTGGATTATTTTGTTTGGTTCTAGGACAATTACCCCCTGGGCTATCACCCCCGGAGAATTACCCCCCGGAAAACTACCCCAAAGGACAATTATCCCCTGGAATATTACCCCCCGGAGAATCACCCCCCCCCCGAGGACAACTACCCCCCAAGGACAATTACCCCCCGGAAAATTACCCCCCGAGGACAATTACCCCCCCCCCCCCCCGAGGACAACTACCCTCGTGGACAATCAGGATTCAATAGCAAAAGACGATCTGACACATTGAGAGATGGCTACCCCGATGGCTACGAGCCCATAAGACCCCCTGCATGAACCCATATTCTTTCAAATACTATATCACATCGTGTTCCTCATTACTACACATTTCCCTTTTATTATAATTTATGCAACGCCACTGCAGTTGCTAATTTCCACGAAGGATGTAAGTTTTAGGTAATTGTCCAGCGCTTTTCAAAATGCATAGAAAAACAATTCTCTGGAGGAGCGTTATTTTAACTTTTTGTTAGTCACGGTACCCTCTTTAGAAATGAAAAGTTTCTCCCGAATCCCAAAGTCTTTACAGATTATTGATTTTGCATGGCTCTCGTCAAGGGCTATGCACACACGTATGGGCATATTTAAGAATAAAAAGGAGAAGACATTTTCAAACTGGTAAAAAATTAGTTTGTAATCGACACACTTGAAACTTTTTAAAGTACTGTATGCGGGCACCTTGCCGCCAAATGTACATAAATACAAAGTGATATATTCGGTCATGATCTTGATACACGAATTTGAGGATATTCCTCATATTCGGGCCTCTCGTTGCCTTTATTTGCCTTGCTGTCAAAATATTATCAGCGAGCGAGGAAGGAAAACTCTTTAGTATCTTCAAAATTGTATTTTCTTATGTAATTACATATTTTAACCGTTTCTGGTATTTGATTTTTTTTTTAAATCAACGTTTTCCAAATCATTTTCTTGCGGCACCCCGGTTGAAAAACGCTGTGCTGGCGTTACAAAATCAAATGAGATGAATTATCAGAGAGCGGATATTTATTTTCTTTTGACATGGCACTGTACATATAACTTGAAGGCAATTTCTATTTCTAAATAATTTAACGTACACGAAAACGTATTACACTTCAGCATGACAACAAAACTAATAGATAACGTGAAGAAAACCTTAATTATGGATCATGGCATGGATGAGGGCCCATTATACATAACAAAGACAAATACACGGTCAGCTGATTAAAAAAGTTACCGAGAATGCCTAAAGGAAATCTTACATCCTAATTTCTTTGTTGTGCCATTGATGGTGAGAGAGGCTGTAACGCGTACTCATCTGCGCGCAATGATTTGTTCAATTTCTAAGAAATGTAATTTCTGTTCTTTACAGGGGAATTGGGCAACCTCCACCCCCCCCCCATATGGAATTGAATAATTTGGAAAGACTGAAATGAACTTCATAAATAACAAAGAAAAAGAAAGTTTATGCAATTTTCTGTAAATAGCAATTTGGAGAGAAGCTTGCGTTATACGTCACAGTGTTTTAAATTCCTCGGGGTGATTGTCATTGGGGGTAGTTGTCCTCCGGGGGTTATTGTCCTGGGGGGGGGGGGGAAGTTGTCCTCGAAAGGGGGAGGGGTAGTTGTCCTCGGGGGTAATTTTCCTCGGGGGTAGTTTTCCTGGGGGATAGTTGTCCTCGAGGGTAATAATAATAATAATAACGTTTTATTTACCCAGGGTAGCCACTTCAGTTATGAAACTGCTTTTCCAGCGGGCCCGGCATAACATAATATGTTATTACTGCCCTTCTCCAATCTAATAGGCTGAGCGCCTAGCTAGAAGGCAGAAGGTCCCATTGTTGGCTTTGGTATGACTCGGCCGGGGTTCGAACTCACGACCTCCCGTTCATGAGGTGGGCGCTCTAACCACTGAGCCACCATTCCCAGTAGTGTCCATGGGGGGTAATCGTCCTCGGGGGTAGTTGTCCTCGGGGAGTAATTGTCCTCGGGGGTAATTGTCCTCGGGGATAGTTGTCCTCGAGGGGTAATTCTCCGGGGGGGGGGGGGGGGTAATCGCCCTACGGGGGTAGTTTTCCGGGGGGTAATTGTCCTGATACGATTTTGTTTAATGGCTGGTTGAGTGATTGGTTGGTTTGATCATTGATTGGTTGGTTGCTTGATTGGTTGGTTTTAGTGATTGCATAAAAGGTTGATTGACTGACTATTTATTGATTAATTGATTGATCGATCGATTGATCGAGTGATTGATCCTTTGTTTGGTTGGTTGGTTGGTTGGTTGGTTCACTGAGTGATTGAGCGATTGCTTAATAGGTTGATTGACTGACTATTTATTAATTAATTGATTGATCGATTGATTGATTGGTTGGTTGATTGTCTGACTGATTGATTGATCGGTTCTTTGTATACTTGGTTGTTTGGTTGGTTGATTGATTGGGATTTTAAACAACAAAAATGCTTGTTAAAACACTATTTAGTTTGTTTCGTTCTTGTTTTGTTGTTCTATGTTTAAATAACATCAATAATATCGATAATTTAGGAGCGCTAAAAGCAAAAAGTACCATAGGGTTAGGGTAACAGAATGTGAACAAGATATATAAATCACACGAAGTTACTTAGATTTAAGGGATCTTATGAAAGAGCCGACACAGGATAATTCTTTGATGGAAAGTGGAATATTGTTCCCTGTTTTCGAAGCAGCCGCTATGAAACGTTTAACGGTAAATGAGATTCTGGATTTGGGGATAATTAGCTTATATTTGTCAGTAATGTCGTTGAGCGAAAATGTTGTTTAATTTAGCTTTTGGTCTGTCTTACATGTGCTTCCTTCATTCCAGCCACTTCGACCGGGTTCTTCTGTGACTTGATAAGGAGGATGGGTGACGCCTTAATGTAAGCCTTGTCCTGAAACACACCAATAAAAAAAAGATGGAACTTATTATGGGATAGAAACAAAGTTGATAGGATAATTATAGTAATACAAGTTGCAATTCATATAACGCCCTTCCACTAGAGAATATGCGCTTCGAGATCCCGTCCATGATTGATTGTTTGAATAAACAATCAGTGACACCGTGAATTCAATGGAAGCACATAATTTGAGATTTGATATTTTGATTTGATTTGGTTTCTGCATCTTTTTGTTCTTTCATCATACATTTTCATGAACATAATATGGTTTGATACAATATTTTAAGTGTGTATTATTGTATACAGATGATAAACAAAATTAAACAAATATATTGAACGCATAATTAATATACATTAGATGCAGGAGGGCTACAGAAATAAGCAAAGTAGCTTGACGTACCCGCAGCCCTCAACTTAGATATGTTTGAAACTCTGTTTGGTGATGATTTCATTTGAGGAGGGATCCTGTTCCAGAGTTCACATACGATACATTCTACTCCCTCTCATTAATACACTTTCCATCCCCTCTCTAAGTGCAGACGAGTGTAAATCCACTCTTTTAGGAGTATTATTATTATCATTTTACTATTAAACATATTATTATTATAAATATTATCATTTTTTTGTATTACTATTATTATTATTCTCAATAATGATTATTAGTTTTGTTTAAATAATTATTATTACTCTCATTATCTTACCTCTGGAATCGAGGTGTAGATGAAATAATTTGAAATGTCGCTAAACCAGATCTTTTCGTTGTCACCATTAGCTAAGGTAGGCAGCTCCGTGGCAAATAGATCGTAGTCCTTTACAGTTGCACATACTGTAGGGCAAACACAGTGCAACAGAAGGATGTCAAATTGTCATTAAAACATAACACGGGTGCTGTTTGAAATTAAGAAGGAACTTGTTAGTATCCAGGTACATCAAATGACACATTATCTAAACGAAAGGAACCTTTTGGAACCCTACGAAAAAAAAATATTCGTGCTTATCAAGGTAGTCCTTCTAAAAAGTGGTAACTAATTATCTAACTAACTAACTATCTAACCAACCAGCTAACTAACTTAAAAAAAGAAAAAATCTATAAAGAAATGTATAATTTTGGAGCAAAAATGGTACAGGAATAGACAACTTTCATTGGCTGGGGTAATCATAGCATGAAGTACCAACCTTCAAAAGAGATTGCCAAGTTTAATTCTGTAAATAAGAGAGGGGATCACACGGTGCGTTGTAAGGTAAATTTGTAACTTTGTTTTACTTTGCTTCAGTTCCAGCAACCATATTATTATTAAAGACGTACTCCGTAATCCGAACAAGATTTTACATGTTTTTTTTTTTAACAAATGGGTTGTAAAGAGCCCTTGAGGTGATTTGCCGAAAGGCTCCGCGATCATGTTACATGGGTCTGTTCTAGGTTAACAATATATAACGGTCACCCAGGGAGGTATTTCGAGTGAGAGTATCCCACACAAAAAAAAATAAAATAAAAATAAAAATGAGGGAAAAATGGAAAAGAAAAAAAATGAAATTAAAAAAAAAATTCCTCTTCAAGTCTTACTGTCAGTGCCGCAACTGTCAATGTTCAAGTGTGTCCGGATCGCATCGACGGCATCAATTCTTCCAGCTTTGTCATAAGCGTAGAGCCTACAAAACAAATGTTGATTAAAAACGTGACATACATGTATAACATACTTTTTGTTTTAAAGCTTATCAACACTAGTGTGGCTAGGAGGGATTAGACCACACAGCAAGGTCACTGACAGTTGGCTATCTCGTCAACTCAGCTCTCAAATAACATAAGAAATATAGGATCATGGGGGACCAACAGGCACCGATTATGGAAGTTTTCTATATAGAGGGAGCAAGTAGCTACAAGTAGGACAGTGGGGCTTTAAAGTAACATGAGCGCAGAGAATGAACCGGCCCTATTTTTACTACAACTATTCTGAAGAAGAAACAAAAGAGTAGCTATCTCTGTTTTTATCTATTTCTCTCTCACTCTCTCTGTCTCTCTTTCTTATTTTCTCGTTTTATCTCTTTGTTATGCAAAGCCATATCAGGACAATTATCCCCGGAAAACTACCCCCCCCCCTTCCAAGAACATGGGGGTAATTTTCCTCGGGGGTGGTTGTCCACGGGGACCGGTAATTTTCCACGGGTGATTTTCCGTGGGGGGGGGGGGGGGGGGGGGGGGGGGGGGGTAATTGTCCTTGGGGGAATTTTCCCTCTGGTAATTGTCCGGGAGGTGATTGCCCAGGGGGTAATAGAACCGACATTTTGCAGGTGCAATGAAATAAACACAAATTGTCAACTTTGTGATGTATCTTGCAAGGTCCCCTTCTAGTGGCCTATACTAAAAAACTTTAAAAAATCTATATTTTCCCTGAATTTTTTTCCCAATCATACCTTTACTCTAAACATAATGCAACTATGTTTTCGTACAACCCTTGTATTAAAATATCTATTCTGCCATTAAACAAAATAAGAAAATGAAAGGTTATGAATTGATATGTACTGAGTAAATTGGAGAGGAGCTCGCAATATACGTCACAGTGTTGCCAATTTGTTTTTCACTGATGACAATTTCAACAATTTCATAAGTTTCCTATTTTTAATCGGAAATTTCTCAAACTTTCACTAATAATACTATTTAATACTATTCGCTATTGTAGTAATTGACGTAGGGTTATGTTACCGTTATAGTTTTCATTGGTAGAATTTATTTATTATATGAATATAACCATATTTTCCTTTTAGCATTAAAAAAAATGATAATACATTTACTTACATGACGTCATTCAATCCAACGACGGCGTATGCAATGAACATAGGATTGTAGGGAATATCCTCCCCACGCATGTTGAATAGCCCTAGAGAAAGACAAAAAAGGTAGGAAAAAATCAAGAGAGGATATAAAGAGCCTGGGATGCAAAAATACGTCATTAAAAAGTTCGGAAACTTTGGTGTTGAAGAGGAAACATGTACCTCACTATTCACCCTCTGTAAATGTAAGAGAGTGGAAATCCATTCTTTTAGGGGTCATATAAAAATCATTTTGTTGTGGAATGCAAATCCACGCCAAAAAATTGTTGAATGCTATGTACAAAGAATAAATTCAAACCGCTATTTAGGTCGGAGTGGATTCCACTATAGTTTGGAGTGGAGTCAAGTCCAACTCCTTTAACAGAATCTTTTTCCACTCCTCCCTAAAGTCGCGAAAAATTTGGTGGCAAAATTTCACTTAAAATTTGTGTGAAAGAGTGTGAAAGAGGATGTCATTCAAGACACATTTTTGCAAAGATTCCCATCCCCCCCCCCCCCAAAAAAAAAAAAAAAATAAATAAATAAAAAAAAAAAAAAAAAAAATACATAATTCGGATTTTCTGTTGTACGCAGAAAACCTTAAATTTGTATTATTTCGTCAATATTTGACTTCAAGCACATTTGTTTTGAAATTCCTTGCAGAAATGTGTCTTCAATGAAACCCTTTATTACATTCATGATACAATTTAAGTGAAATTTGGCCATCAATTTTGGGGGCTCCCAACATTTTAAAGGGGCTTTAAATTGACCTGCCACTTTCAAAAGAACCCTTAAAACATACTTCTTCCCTTAGTGATATAATATGATTCAACTATTTTATGAGTTTTATATTTCTCTCCACATTCTGTTATTTTGTAAGGGCTTTGGTCCATTTTGTTGATAGCGCCCTTAAAAGGCGGTTACGAATTAAGTGTGGCATTTGTGTAAGAACAACAACGAAAACTTTGTTGGCATTGAATAATAGGAAGAAATTAAATTGAGAGAATCCGTTCGCATTCCTAACACCATGTTTACATGTCGGTTTCTTTCTTTAAACAAGCTCAGTGGGCGTCAACAAAAAATGACATGGATGTACATAAAATAGCATTGAATTTGATATTGCCATTTGCCCTTGGGGATGCTTTAAGGATTACACGATCACGAAGACTTTCGAAAAATCAAGTCAGCGGTGATTTCCATACCTAATTGTACATCACATGATCATATAAATTATATTCAGATTACGTAATACTTTATTGTATTGTTGACATTCCGAAATGAATTGGACGAGGCTTTGGAAAACGGTTTAATAAGTCGACTTTTTGAAAGTCTTTGAGATAATGGGGCATATCATGTAAATGTGGATAGATGTGATTACTTACAAGCGACTTCATCAAGTTTGGGGACGATGAGTTTAGTAACTTCAGCTCTAGCCATCTCTGCCCTGATATCCGTTATCTTACTTTCCCACGATTTCCCTGAAACACATAAAGAAAGACATGACAGTTTAGATATGAAGTACCTACATTAATGAGATATTAAAGAGTAGTTTTACAACCCAACATATTTAGAAATAATGAGTAAATGTTTGTAACGGGGAATTATCTGTCCAGCCATATTTGGAAACTTGTTGTTACCCAACTTGAGCAATATTTTGATAATTTCAGGTAATTATTCTTCATTTCGACCGTAGTTGGAAAATACACTGGTTGGGTAAAATTATTTTCAAAAAGGTCCAGAGTTGGAAAAACAAATAGTTGCCAATCCTGTTGCGCAAATCTTTATCCAATATTCGTAGAGTGCATCGGTCCTTATGGTGGTCATTGTTCTTCAGATCCTGCACAACTAACGCTACAACGAATACACTAAAAAAACAATATTTCCTTCATAGCAATAATTTTTTTTTTTTTTTTTTTTTTTTTTTAAACAATCGCGATTATTTGGCTGTGCGTTTTGGGTGTGAACAAAAGCGAGATTACAACACTTTTATCCCGAGTATGAACGGTGGCAAAAAAAGGGGAAAATTCGATTCGCGATTCAAATCTCGTTATTTTGTGTGAGTTGCTTTCCCGTTAGGCGCGTCAAATATTGCGCTAGCTGCTAACACAGTCATGCGTCAGGAAAATGACGCATCGACTTGTGCAACGTGCATTACCAGAGTACTCCATAGCAAGGACAAGTAGGGGCATGTCCGGGTAGCCGGGCTGTGTGCCGAGATTATTCCACGTCAAATCCACGAGGTTGGCTGCTGCGTTAGCTACCATAGTCAGGTTACGACCAGACTCTTCCAGCGAACTCAAGTAACTCTGCACCGTGCCTGGTTAATGAGAGGAGGAGAAGAATGAGAAGAGAAAATGAAAATGAAGGTATTCTACAGGTTGGAAGATACCAGTGACAATTGTTCTCTGGTCAATATTTTGCACTAACCGAATTTGTTCATTTCAACCCTAGCTTGACCAATCACTATCCTGAACCTTGCCAAAGGTCCAATTGCAGCCATAAACCTAACCCTGCATCCTTGCCAAATTAGATGTTTGAGCATCGTTGCACAAAAGGCCATGCAGATGACAGTTGTTATCGACGGGAAAGTTCGAAGAATTACTTATAATGAAGGAAAATGTCCATCTTTAAGTAATGAGTCAAAATGAACCTAAATGATTATCGTTTTCAAAAACTAATGCAAGAAGTTCATTTCCTTTCATTTAATTTATTCAACCATTTAAAAATATTACATAAAATGTTATCATATACAAAGTAATACAGGTTAGGAGCCCAACAGAAGCAAAAGTTTGTAAACAGGGCCCCTTGAGTGAAAGCACACAACAATTAATTTCAAACTTTGTAGGCCCCACAATATCTTATGAAAACGAAGGAAACCTCCCATGAAAAAGAAGGGCTCAAAGTTATATTTTGTGATAGTAATGAGAATGCTTACTACCTTTAAGCCCATAATGTTTAAACAAGCAAAACCTTCGTCAATTTCTCTCAAACTACATAACACGCAAAGCAAAAGCAAAGATTTTTAGTACAGAGTGCACTTTGTGACAGATTATCGTGTCAAGAGTAATCGCATTTCCCCATAGTTGTATAGTAAAAACTTTTTCTGGGTTGTCAACTCCAAATTGTTTTACAGGATAAGCTACTTGAGCGTTAATTCATGTAACAACAGAACAATTTCCTGTTTTAAATTGAGAGTCTACGAACCTTGTGATTGATTAGAATCTTCGAGGATAATTATTGTTTTTCCATTTTTTTTTGGTAAGACTAAAGAGTGCCTAGGTGTATACCTAAACAAAAATTAAACAGTACATGGGCTATTTTTGTCATGACTGTTCCGAGTCTTTGGTAAAACACATTGGGGAGGATACAACAATGAAAGGATTTTGAAAGATTCTGAATAAAAGTTTAACAATTAAAAGATTTACATTTAACAATTAATTTTACTCGCTATTCTGAATTTTTGTACAGGTTCGTTATTTCCCTCACACACGCTGACCTGATTCGAGGAGGTGTGTGTGTGTGTGTATGTGTGTGTGTGTGTGTGTGTGTGGGAGGGGGGGGGGTTAGTTGTATTTTATTGGTTAATATTTTATAATTTATAAGGTTCGCTTTCCGCGAATTCCATGAGCTGTTGGATATTTGGAAGGGAAAAACAGGCGAGTTATGTCCGAAAACTAGACGGTGGACCATTTCAGTTACTTACTTATGGACATGAGTCTCGGGTCGTAGCCAATCATAGCTCCTTCAGGTAAGTCGGCCCCCATGGTAGCATCGATGCTGTCACTAATCAGCCATTCAGCTGAGCTGGGAACTCCTACCTCGCCTGATATCGAAGAAGGGCAGGGGAGAGTGGGAGAAGGAGAGTTATGCAATGGAAGAGAGAGACAGAGAGAGAGAGAGAGAGAGAAAGAGAGAGAGAGAAGGAGAGAGAGGGAGAAGCAGGGTTGGGGCGGAGGGTGTGATGATGAGAGAAGGAGAGAGGGCGAGAGAGTGGGGAAGGGTGAGAGAGTGAGATAGAGAGAGAGAGAGAGAGGGGGAGGGTGAGGGGCAGAGTAGTGTGCGAGAGTGAGAGTAAGAGTAACATAAATATAATTCAAGAGCACAGTAAGTTAATAAAACAAGTAAACAGGGAAAAGGATGAGTTCTGGTTAAACGAAAGAAAAAATGTTTTGTGTAAAACTGTCTCATTTTCAAAGGTATTGTTCTTCAAATGCCCTGAATCTTTACAAAAATAACATCATTACACATACCCATTTCTGTGTGCAGCGCCGTTGGCTATAGATGTGTTTTCCAACTATATTTGGTCGATTTCTCAAAATCTTGATGATTTGAAAAAGCTCAGCAAGGACATATGTTTCCGTATATACAGATAATTTACCTTCCTCACAATTTGTTTTCTCACATTAAATTTCATGACCGGAAGTCTACATTATATGCCACTGTGCCACGTTGTATTCATCACTAAATCCTTATTGAAAAGGCTTCAAGATTATTTAATTGTTTCCAGTGCAAAATTAATCTATAGAAAATGTGGAAAGGGTTGTAATAGAGCTAATGAAGATCGAAAATGCGAAATTTAAAACATTGGTTCGAATCTTATAAGATGGGACGAGAAGAACAGACGAAAAGGGGGTGACAAAAGGAAAAGAGAAAGGGATAATTAAAGGGCTTTCAATTTGCCTTACCGCTCTTCATGAGCATCCATTCACAGATCATCTCGCGTTCAGCCTGGATGAAATAGCGTCCGTCAGTCCACACAGCAGACAATGTGCTGGTAATCACAGCCAGACCTAGAACAAGAGAAGTGCATGGTTGTTGGTACTGATATTCTGGTATTGGCGGGAAAACATGTATCGAATATTTCCACAAATTTACTCTGAATGTTGAAGACTATATGCTGGTAAACGGATTTGACAACAACAAAATATTTATGTTTAACAAGTTTAAGCAGAAAGGGAAGAGAGAGGAATTAGAAAATGATGTCTATACCTGCCGATCCTGAGAAGCCACTGATATAGGGACGTCTTGCGTCAGGTGCAGCGATGTACTCACTCTGGAGTGAGAAAAATGATAATATAGAGATAATGACTGCTATGAGGGGAATAGTTGTTTTATAGTCTCAAGGGGATGTTGCATCCTGATAATCACCCGAGGCGTGCCGAGGGGTGATACCAGGATGCAACATCCCCGAACATTTTCACACTTTAACCAAGGCGCATTCCACAAAGAACATTTTAACACGTAAACCAATGGGTATCGCAGCATCTTTTCTATTTTCAGGTAACCGGAATTTTGAGAGATCTCACTCTTGGACTATTAACCGGTTTGGGTATTTTACGTTAACTTACGGGAATGGCTAAAATCATGACTCCAATTTCGACCAATCAGATGGCTGGATTTCTAAATTAAGGTATATAATATTTGTTAGTTTCATTGTCCGACAAATCTAAGATTTAAATCTCTGGTCATGAAATCCAATTGAAGAAAAACAAAAGAATAACTGTTGTTGTTTGGGTTTCAAATCAAATTGAACAAAATCTTGCTGGGAACCAGCCATTCTGACAAGCGACTTTTGAATGGAATAGAATGTAATCTTTCGAGATGAGCTGATCTTAAATACAAACGAATAAGATGTTAACCAACTCCAGAATACCAAACAACGTCCTTTACAACCATAAATGAGTTGCAAATCTTTTATATGCGAAAGGTCCCTGTGGGCCTTTATCTCTATTTCTCCTTTGTTGTATATGGATTGTTTATATATACAAGATTTGTTTGAACAGTTAACCGAAACAAAAAGATAAACCTAGTATCTATCCCGATTTGATAATTTCAAGCTTACTGGCATAATTTGTACATCAAATATTCATACAATCATTGTAACAACGTTTATACTTAAAGTTAAATATCCAAGCCCACAAAACTGATTGAATCATTTTCATTGTTACGTTACATTTATTCTTGGGAACCTACATAAACAATTTAATGATTTCGAACTTACTTTGTCAACAATGTTCCTCATTGTACAAACGATTGATATGAAATGTAATACATTCGAATCAATCAATCATTTGTCTTAGCCTTTAATCATATGTGATATATGGTAGTGTGACCATAATTCATGGTCGAACTATTCGACCTATAAAGTTCATACACATTTCCATATCTCACAAAAATCGGTAAGATTTTGATAATCTGATACCATCAATTAAAAGAGGAACCTAAATAACCCAGATGGAGATATCATTTTTCTTTGACATTGGGTGTGGAATCTTGAAAATATTAACAAAAGATCCGCAAATTATTTGCATCCGTTCAGCAACAAAAAATATTGAGAAAGATCTAGGAATTTTCATATCGAGAGAAAATGTCATCAAAATTTTTAAGTAAAAATTTACAACAATTTATTGATAATTGGCTTCCAAATTATGCAATTAACTTATATTTTGATGGATCAGTATTTTCATAAATCAGCTATTAACTCTCGTGCGCGAATTCAGGTTTCTTTTTCACTTTTCTCACTTTTTCGTCAGTTGAAGCGCATTTCGATCTGAAATCGCGATATATCCGAAATTCTTCGACAATGCATCCTTGTTGCATCAATTTGTTGTCAAAAAGTTTGCCGTCCATCTTTAAACAATTGAAATGAATATATCTATGTAGAATATGAGAAATCATGGATCGAATATTAAATTGCTAACATTTGTTTAAATCTCCACGATTTTTGATCATCCCATCATACTTACGCCGTGGGCGTCTTCACTAGGTACAATGTAGGCGTCGTAGCCATACTGTGCCATGTATTCTCGGATCTTAGCCAGCTGTGCTGTGGTGTCAACTGTAGTGTCTGGATAATTCTGTGGGAGAACATAATCAAAACGAAAAATGATTTGATATCAAAAGAATTGAAAGGATAACAATTATGATGATTATCTACTAGTAGTTTAGTAGTTTTAGTACTACTATTACTGCCGCAGCTACTGGTATAGTCTGTGAATACTTTTACTACACAAAGGAAGTCGACGACTACTACTAGTACTGACACTATACTGTACGCTGGCGGCAACTACTACTGCTGCTGCTGCTGATACTATATTATCCCATACTTCTCCACTCGCTGGGGAGCATTCCAGCCAGGCGTCATTTTTTTTACAAGCGCACACTTGCTAATCTAACCACATTAGCTTTCGCATCCTACCGGGTACCCATTTAACACCTGGATGGAGAGTGGCAAATGTAGATCAATGTCTTGCTACTACCATTACTGTTGCTTTTACTTTTAGTACTACTATAATTATTTCTACTTCTACTATCATGACTGATGCTACTACTAGTAGCACTACTACCAAAAACATTATAACCAATGGCTGGTAACTTCTTGTTATAACTAACAATTCTTTTCTAAATTTCGCTTATGCCACCGTATGCTTAATATGCAACCTCCTATAAAGTACCTTTCTCTGATTCATTTTATTCATGAGCAGTTCAGTCTGTTTTGCTCAAGTCCGAATTTGGGTAGCATAAAACTACTACGACGGCATAGCTCCAAAATTTGTCAGAACTGTAAAGTGCCCATTTTCTAATGGCACACAATTTGTTTCATGTGTAAAAAGATACATACTGAACAATATTAGATATGGAAGCACTTCGTAAAACGTATTAATAGGGTAAATGGTAAATGGTAAATTGTAAAATTTGCTCAAATGGATAAGTCGATCACCTCGATATTCAGACCCTGCATGTATAAAAGAAAGCCCCAATTAGAATAATGTGAAGGCGTTTGTTTTCTCTCAACTTGCAGATCTTCCAGATGAACAGATAAAAAAGGGGCCTATTCATTGAAGGAAAACAAAAGTTGTCAATGATATTTATCTGTGTGTGCTTTGTGCCTACCGGCGGTGAAGCAGAGCAGTCTCGTTCCCTATCACCATCAGCTCGTCTTTCTCGAGATTTGGCTCTGCCACGGACGAGAGGAACCTCATCGACGTCGAACATTGCGATCGGTTCTGCCCAGCATGGTGACAGAACTATGGATATGAGAGAGAGGGAGAGAGAGAGAGGGGGGATTGGTTTTTATAAAAGGTATAATAAGCAATCGTGTAGCCAAGGGGCATAAGCGCCGGCCCGGCAAATCCCAATCTAGAATGCCTAATAGTTCTATAATGTATATTCTTCTTCTTCTTCTTCTATGACTAGGTATGCTGACCGTATTCAGTGATATTCCGTGTATCAGAATTTAAGATCTGCTATTCATACATCTGTAATAAACAGTACGGAAAAAGTAAACAAATAAGACAAAATTTTCAGTGTAAACGGGAACGGAGACCAAACATGGAGACACAACAATACTGTCTGGCAGAGAAAAAGGTAAAAATAGATTATTATAAAATAAGTATTATGAAGGATAGTATAGTATTTATTTTCCGTTTTAAAAACAAACATATAATACAAGTATACATAGCGTTAATGAAACGGCTGGATAGCCCATATTCAGCTGTGCCAGGCACGACACTGCTGGGATTCCATGGGGTCCAGGAATCATATACATAAATAAAAAACATGACGTATAATTATTTACTAAATTAAAGGATATAAAGTAGGTACAATACACAGTTATAAATGCTTAAACTCTACAAAATGGTAGTTGTGCAATACACAGTTATAAATGCTTAAACTCTACAAAATGGTAGTTGTGTGAAAGGACTGCGAAAGTCCACCCCCCCCCTCCCGAGTCTGGAATAGGTCAATTTATTGTCAAGGTCTGGGTGATTGAGCATGTGAGTAGAACAACGTTAATTCGCGCTTAAAACTATTCAGAGTTGAGGCATTTCTTACAATTACATGGAGATTATCATAAGCAACAGCTCCTCTATACTTAAAAGTTCTTTTAAATAATCCAGTATTAGGCTTAGGCGTATAAAGTCTTCCACCAAAGCGTAAGTGGTATTCGTGCACATAGATATTAAAAAGGTCTGAATTGTTAACAGGGGTCATCTCATTAAGTGATTTAAACATACTGTATAAGTTAGCAAATGCTGATTTCTCCTGTCGTGTAACGATTCCCAGTTAAGGGCATTGCTAATTTCTGAATTGGGTATATGAGAGTCACGATTGATATGTAAAATCAAACGCCCAGCATGATTTTGGAGCTTTTGTAGTCTTTCAGTTAAATATTTGCAGGCCGAACCATATACAACATCTCCGTAGTCGAAGTGGGGAAGAACAACTGCATTATATCCTAGTTTTAATATAGATTCATTCAAGGTGCTTCTTAATCTACCAAGAAAGCTTACCATTTGTCCTATTTTTTTCACCATCTTATCAGTGTGAATTAATGCTCCATTTAATTTGCTCATCACAAATGACACCTAAGTACTTGACATTTTCCACTTGTTGAATTTTGCTCTGACAGAGGGTGACATTTAAGTTTTTTTTCTTTTGACAACATGTATCGACTACCAACAAGCATACAAATTGTTTTTTCAAAATTTACACTAAGTCTATTTTCCTTCATCCACTGGTGTAAAAGAAGTAGGTCACTGTTCAGAGTCGACTCAATTTTGCGTACTGAGGTATCGGAGGAATATATCACTGTGTCGTCTGCATATAACTTTAGACTGCTTGATTTAAGATATTTGGCAAGATCATTGAAGATAATGAAGCTCGAAAGACAGTTATTACATTTTTTGGTATACTGCTAATCTTACAGGTGTCCAGAATATAACAAAGTTAGGACGATGACCCCCCCCCCCCCCCTTTTTTCGGGGGGGGGGGGGGTCATGATTTATCTACTGAAGACCGAGATAATGTAAAGGATAAATGAGAGCATACTGGGTCGAATGACAGAACTAGACCGAAATTGCTTAAATATGACTGACGAAAGTACAACAAGACCTCTTTGGGTCATGATGATATATTTTCGAAAATGTATATTATAGAAAGTTCTTCGGCATGTTTGGAGCAATTTGGACACTGCAAGCAATGTGGTTCTAAAGGTCCCCCGTCCGTGTCAACAATGTGCATCTGGGATTAATCAAGGGATTTCCTTTAAATCAGGGAAATCAGGGAACCGCCTCTTAAAGGATACTGTATACATTGCCTCGTTATTTACCCAGTATCATATGCATACAGTGTATCTAATGAATCGGTAATTAAAAAGGTTTATGGCAATAGGAGTGCTGAAAAGGAGGGGTGGGATATTGAACAACTTGGACTCCGATGTAGCCATCATGTATGCGTTCTGAGTTCGGCCATCGTGAGTTGAGTGATTTCAGTTGCCTTGTTGTTTTGTGAGGCAAACATACTTGGAATTTATGTAAGGCGCAGTGCCAGCCTTGTATTGTCTTTGGGTCTATGCACACGTGAATATAGTTGTACATGAATATTGATTTAGATTTAAAATCTGAAAATATTGTTTTTGTTTAAGTATGAACATGACCAAGGAGCGCGTACAGTAGAGTGTGGTAAACAAGACTAGTTGTTATATACGTGCACTTCATACAATGAGTTCAAAAGTCATCGTACAAAAACAAAACAAAAGTTGTATTTGCTTTCTTCAAAATAGCTAGAAGCGTGTAAAATATCTTCAAAATATTTCAATATGTTCTTTAGATTTTATGTAAACTTTCATCGCAGCCAGTGGTCAAATTTGACAATTTGTTTACAGAGTTAGAACGGAAATGTACGTTTCAAGTGTAAATTCATAAAATAAGTACAAACATAATCGTACAACGGAACTCTTTGCTCTAACACCGCCTGAAGTAATAATATGAGTTATCATGGGAATTAAGAAACCGTAAAATAAAACAGGGTGCCAGGATACACCCTAAATACCCTTGCAATGATCTTAGTGCGCGTTATCCTATCTCATTTTAAATCTTTATAGGTCGCCTAAAATACACAATAAAGAAGCCCGTATATATGGTTACCGCCCCTTTTAGTCAGGTAGCTAAGCGTCAAAATGATCAATTATCGTTACACGGCGGACAAAAGCGCCATTTTTGGTACAGGGCTTTTTAGGACCTTCTGAACGATGTTAAGGTTGGAGCCCCCAACAAAAAATGTATATAGGGGTGATTTGGGGGCGGGGGCGTCGTACCGGAGCCCCCATATCATATATCATGTAAGATCCCATTGGTTTGACTTTGTGGTTATACGACAGCCTGCTTTTGTAGAGTGCGTCCTTAGAACCTACTGCAAGATAGTGCCCCCTGGCAACAATTTCATATAAGGGTGTGGGGCGGGGGCGTCATCCTGGAGCCCCCAAATAATATATAAGGTAAAATAACATTGATTTTTTTTTTCGTGCACAAATGCAATTTCTGGTACAGAGCCTTTTAGGACCTCCTGAACGATGTTAGGGTTGGAGCCCCCAACAAAACATTTATATAGGTGTGATTTGGGGCGGGGGTGTCGTACCAGATCCCCCGTGTTAGATATCATGAAATATCACATCGGTTTGTGGTTATATTGGTACAGAGCTCTCTTAGGACCTACTGAATGAAATTAAGGAAGGAGCCCCGGCAAAACAATCACATAAGTGTGAAGAGGGTCGGGGCGTTTTTTCGGAGGCCCCACGTTGAAGTCTTGGAGGAACTCACACCACCGTTCTTTGCCTTGGATTATGTAAACTACTCACGGTGGATGCCAGTCCACATCAGAGATATGAAGTCCCTACCCGACACTATCAAGGATAAGTTTGAGAATTTTTTTTCATTGGGTCCTTTCCAAGACAAGTTACACTTTCTCTGCAATCCCATTTGATCAAGCTTATGAGCAGGAAAACAAGATTGTGAAAGGTTCTGGTAGAGCTGTTGGGCTCACAGAAAACCCTGTGGCTTTTCGTCGATGGATGCTTTCGGGACAAGAGATGTCCAGGCTGCTAAAGCAATTCGAAGAATAATACCTTTTTGATGATGACACAGAGATCCGGGAGAACTTCCAGCATCATGAGCAGGGTCTCTCAACACAGAAGACCTTCCAGCGACAGGTTGTCAGCCTCTCCGATACCATCAGACGAATGGGCAATCCCTTCTTGGATGATTTCTCAGATCTAGTAACTCTTGACAGTCGCAACTGCGTGGATGAATCAGTGGTAGCCGCATTGCACACATTGGAGGGTACAGGCAGGAAACAGTACAAGAACTTTGTCAGGAATGTGCTTGATGTTCGCAGCCACTCCATCCATGACCCAATCAAGAGAAATTCTCTAGCACTATTCAGTTAACCTAAACAGAAGGTAATATCTAAGCAGGGGAAGAAGATCAAAGTGCTTCAAAAGAACGTGGCACTCTTCGGCCAGCTGTACATATCTTCATGTATGTAGAACCGGAATGGTGACTTGGCAGAGTTCTTTGCACATGAGATACAGTCCTTCCCTCCTTCCCTCTCGGACTTTAACAAGCTTCATTTGCCCAGCACGAAGTCGGACCTGCTGAAATGTCTTGAGCAACCTGGTCAATCAGAGCCACCTTCAACCTATGACTGCAAAGTCCTGGATGGTTCCGTCATCGTACACTGTCTGCCCACTACAAGCGTCAGCTCCTTCCATGAGTATGCAGACCGGGAATTCATCACATACCTGGAGAAGCAGCTTCAGGACGCCACGAGGTTGGATGTTGTGTGGGACACATACATTCCAGATAGCTTGAAAGAATCTCCCCGGGAAAAGAGAGGCAAGGGTGCGCGCAGGAAAATATCGGGTGAGACCGAACTACCAGGCAATTGGATGGACTTTCTCTGTGACCCACTCGGCAAGAAAGACCTGTTTGCTTTTGACTTTCAAGATTGAAGATTTCAACATGCCGCCAGCCAAAGCTGTATATGTCACATCCGGGAAATCTGTGGCATCCATTGGTACTGGCATCCCCATGCAAAACTGTAATCACAAGACACCAGAGTTGTGGTTCATGTGCTACATTCTCTGAAACACTGGGGAAAGACTATCCTTGTGCGAACTGCGGACACAGATGTTGTTGTAATCCTTGCTGGCACATTCCATAATCTGATTTCAACTCAACCTT